AAATTTCCTTAGGGGAATATTATGAGCTATGGTGGGTTGAGTAGTGGCCCCAAAAGATATGTCCTTAGGGGTCTTTGCAGATGTAATTAAGGATATTGACCATCCTGAATTTAGGGTAGGCCCTAAATCCAAGGATGAGTGTTCTTTTTAAGAGATAGAAAATAAGAAATAAACACACAGAACAAGGCCATGGGAAGAGAGAGGCAGGGACTACAGTATGAAGCTTCAAGTCAAGGAATGCTAAGGGCTGTGAGCAGCCACAGAAGCTAGGAGAGAGGCATGGAACGGATTCTCCCTCAGAGTCTCCAGGGAAAACCAAATGTGCTGACACCTCGATTGTGGACTTCTGGCCTCTAGAACTACTGGAGAATATGTTTTTGTTGTTTTAAGCTACCAAGTTTATGGTAATTTGTTATAGAAGCTTTAGGAAACTAAGACACCAACCAAGGGGGGAGGGGATTATAAAGGTATTTATGTTAGAAATCTCCTAATAAAATAGTTCAGCCAGATATTTCTACATTGAAGCTCACTTGTCAGTAAGCTCTGCTCATGAATACAGAGTATTGAATCAATTTATAGACTTGATTTTTAAACAGACAATTTTAAAACTTGATTTCAAATAGCCAAGGCTTACCATACATTTGAGGAAAACTTCCACTCTAAAAAATGGAGTCTAAGGTGAACAAATAGAAATAAGAAATTTGGAGGAAGTAGAGGCAATGCAGGGAGAAGAAAACTTTTAAAACTGTCATTAATGGCATCAGAATAATAAAAAAATTATAGCCATGAAGCAGGAGCAGGTGCTATGAGAAAAAAGATTCAGAGGAGAAAAAAAGGAGCTCTTGAAAATTAAAAATATGAGACCAGAGAAATAAACTGAATAAAAAATGTAGAAGATAAAATTGAAAAAGTAGAACAAATAAAAAAGAAATAGGAAATACAAAAACATAAGAAAAAGTAGAAGGGAGTAAACTATCAAATAAGTAATACAAAAAAAGTATTAGCTCAGGATATTGACAGTGCCAAATGAGGGCCAAGCACAGTGAATGTAAAAGATCTACACAGAGGCAAATCATACAATTTCACAATGCCAGGGATAAAGTGAAACCCTAAAATCTTGTGGAAAGAGAAAACGAAACTAAACCAAACAAATGAACAAACAAAAACAGGTCCTGTGAAAAGGACTGGAATCAGAATGACATCAGACTTCTCAACAGCAACTCTGGAAGCCCGAGAACGTGGGATCTATGATTTCCAGGCTAGAATTTTCTGCTTTGCTATACCATCAGACAAATGTGTGTGTGGAATAAAACAAACACTCAAGGACACACACAAAAAAACACATGCAAGAAATAAATAATTTACTTTCTGTGTGCTCTTTCACAAGAGTGACAGAATAAAGTCAGGACAAAAGCTGTAGAACTCAAGCATCCTGAAAGAAGGAAGACCTTTATACGGAGAAAAACCGGAATTCATGGATTATCTGTTGCCTTTGGTTATGTGGAAAAAAAACCCTGAGAGACCATTACAGTCATTGGGAAGAATCTGTGATAGGTACATTAAAAATTAACCAAATTGGATGGGAATTGCAGCAATTATAAATCAGAAAAATGTTCTATAAGAAAATAAACACAATCATAGTGTAAAACAGACTCAGCAGTATTCAACATTTGCATAGTTGGGATAATTTAAACACCAGATATTTAATAAAAATTGTGGTATAACTATACTGGGAAGATGGGCAGAGGGAGAAAGCTTTGGGGCAGACCCCAAAGAGCTTCTCATTATATTAGCTGAACATCTAACATAATAAGAAATCAAAAGATAATTTTAAAGTATATAAAATAGAAAATAGCAGAATAAACATAATAATTAGAAATATAAAAACTATTTTAAAAGAACTATCTGGAAATATTGGCATTGTTGCCTTTGGGGAGTGATTCTAGGTATAAGAGGGGATTTCTGCTCTTAGTTATATACATCTTAGTTTTGACTTATTTAATTATGGATATGTTACTTTGATAAAAAATAAAAAGACTTTAGCATTACTAGAATTTTTTGCAAGTATATTTTAATTTTGTGTTTGCTGTTTTTTGGGAATCATAGCTATAAGAAACATAATTGTTTACTCCTTCTGACTTTGTGTTAAAATTTGCACTCACTGGGAAAGTTTTACTAGAAACCTTATAGGAAGTCTTGGATGAAAAGGTACTGTCAGAATATGGGTATTTTATAGATCCATGACTGGTTTCTGCCACTGCTACATCTCAAATGGATTGTCCTTTAGTGTGAGGACCAGTGAGTCTTTTCTGGATCAGATTAAGGAACTAGAGTAAACAAGGAAATGAGAACGGAGTCCAATCTTGAATAATGAATGAAGTCAAAATGTAATAGTTGATTTGAAAATTGCAAGAGTTCCAAAAGTTAAGAAAAGACTCAGGAGCTTCAGCTATATGGAAAAACCAATCAGTTTTAAAAGTAAGCATTTCAATTTTTCGGTAGAAATAAAGAAAAACACCCAGAGAATAGGTATAACATAAAAGAAAATACTTTGTAAAGTCAAGATGGTCCAAATTTGAACCTTGGCTCTAACTGTTATGGTGTTGTGACTTTGGTGGTGATATTTAACCTTTCTCAACATCGGTTATTTTATCTGTAAGATGTGAATAAAAATACTAAGTTTACGAGACTGTTGTGTGAACTATTTAAGATAATGTGTGTAAAAGCTCTTTACTGCACAGCATTGACAGCATCATATAAATGTAAAGCATCATTAAAATAAATAAAATTTTATCTTAAGTTTTTTTTTTTTTTAAGCACCAATTGTCTAGTATAGAAAGAATAATCCTCTGTGTTGAAGACAGCAAGTGGCTCAGATATTCGATAGCAAAACAAATCTTCAAATGAACTCCATGGGAAATAGGGTTAGAATAGGGAGAAATTGTTTCTATTTCACCCTATCAGCTATGTTAAATAGGAAGCAAAACGGGGAAAAAGGACAATAAAGAGCATTAACCTATGATGAACCTTCATTCACACAATGAACTTACTGTGTTATTGTGTTAAGTGAGGTCTGAAAAATTCAATTATGTAAAATGCAGAATTTTGCTCGTCAGAGGTTGATTAAATGTGAACAGGGATGGGGGAAGGTTAGGGGTCTGCTGACTTGTCATTTCAATTCTCATAATTATGGAGTTTTGCTGTCTTTCACTGAGTTAATCCTCAATATTTGAATTTTAGTAGGAAGTGGATTATTTCTTTCCCATTAATTCATATATGGTGCACAAAACTTTGTGAGCTTTGTGGAATGCTTACTAATATTTTTGCTAATTCAATGAATATTTTTCAAATATAATTTTTTTGTTATCACATTCTGCCTTGTATATTTTACTAGTAACATATTCCTTGCTCACCTGGAATTAGCTCCATGCCAGTTTGACAGGTTTTTTTATTTGTTTCTTTGTTTTTAGATCTCACGGGCTTCTATAGTCTACCTGAGTGCCAGTTTAAGGCCCCTACATCTCTGAACAAACGGCCTTATAAACCGAATAACTGCAAAGTGAACTTAGTCTTTGCATGGCACATAAAATGATTATCAATTTGATTCTTTTTCCTTTGTGAGAAATTATTTATCTTTTAGACTGCATGTGCTAAATCTCTCTAGCTCACAGCAGACAAATTAATGAGCTGCTCAAAGCCTGCTTGGGTTAATAGAGTTCCTTGGAGGTATTGTGGTTTTATTTATTTATGGTATTTACAGGTGGTGTCTGGTGAAATGGGCCTCTGAATAGAATAAGGATTATGAAACGTACTGAAAGGATGCAATGGCCATTATGCAAGTAGTTTGGGAAGAAAAGCATTGTGTGCTCTTTCAAACTGGCAAAAAGCAGCCATATAACAGAGCTTTTCCCCCTCCATTTAAATAGATTATTTAGAAAAATTAGATTTCACTAAAACATAAGTATTGAACCTAAGAGATAATGGAATCTTTGAGAAACTATAATTGAAATATGAAATACTGGCTCGCAAGATTAGCTTCTTCTGTCATTATTCATTAGTATTTTTAACTGAAAGTGTTAGATTGTGGGGCTAAATGGATTTTTGATCAAAACATCACATTCAGTATGTTGCTATTTAATTCAAGAAATTACTCCTACAGAGTTTACTTTTCCTAGTGATACTAAGCATGTAATGTTCATGCAGCAACCTTGAGACTGACTCAGTAATAATAGCATATACTGTTTTTTCTGTGCTACACAATGTTCTTACAAATATTAATTTATTTAATTCTCGTCATTCACCTATCAGATAGCCACAGAGATGATAAATGACTTATTTGAAGTCATGTCAGTAATAATATGATCCAGCTGATTTGAACATAAGCAATCTTGCTCCATAGTTCTCTGTTATGCTAGCTTTCACCTAGCTTTTTATTATTATTTTCTCTTGGTGACCTTTGTATTCCTGAAGCACCATGGCAGACTGCTCTGGTGGTTCACTGCAGAAGGTTTTATGTCTGTACACACACACACACACACACACACACACACACACATACTCACACACACGTAGATTTACCTAGACGTATTCTGTTTTCGTAGGGAATTGTTTTCTTTCTACATATGTTTATGATTAGCAAACTTTAGTGTTTGTGTAGAAAATATTAATTTTTGCAGATAGTTACTATCTTATAGTAAGTGGATTTTTGGCAATGGATTTGCATCAATTATTGATTTTACTTTATCGCTTTATGGAGAACATTTGTCTAATAGTTGAAGGGCTGTTTTCACTGATCAAATCTGAAAGATCCATAGGAAGATTGAAATCATGATCGTTCTCTAAGAATAAAGTAGCTGTGACACTAGCAACCCCAAACATTGCTCATTTAAGCACTTTGCACCATATCAAGAATGCTTTAAAAATCGGCACATGTCTTTTTAGTGTGAAGGAATATACCTCATGAAATTGCAGATACTCTACTAATGTTCTGTTTTGCTTAGATGAATAATGTGACAGCAGACTATTGTCTTGACATCATAAAGAAGTTTGAAGTTTCAGAAGAAAATAAGGTGAAAAATGTTCTCGGCATAGAAGGTAAAATAATCAATGTTCTTAATTTCCTATTTCTTGATTCAGTCTGTTAAGTTATTCCAGCAAAATTTTCAGGAAAAGAAATCAGATATCCATGGAATTACAGATAATTCAAATAAAACCCCTAACATCCACATATTTTCTTACAAAGCAAAGGCCATGATGTTGCTATCTCTCTTATTTTTGCAATGCCCTTGAGCATTTTCCACTTCAAGCAAGTCTACTTGATATCACTATGTGTAATAGATGCAAAGAAATATTTGGACTTTTCTCAAATGGCTAATTTTTGGAAATAGCCTCATCCCGATAATTTCATGTAGGGAAATTTGCTCCTAAAATAAGTAATCCGTGAAACTAGTGGTATAAATATAGCTACATGTATGTATATGCACTTAAAATATGTAGGAAAATAAATTGCAGGCCACCACCCAAGAGGTGGATCTCCCAGGCAAAACAGAGGATCTTAATGAAAGACCACTGGGGAACCCAGCTGCCCCCCAGGGCATGCAAAGCCATAGTTTATCTTACCATTTTTGATGGCCTCCCATTTCCCCCTGCTTCCAGGATCAATGTAGAGAAGGGGGTTTCAATACCATGTATTTACTTCCCGGGGTAGAGAGTAATTAAAATGAAGAGGAACAATTTAAAATCTTGCACCATTAAAAACCATTTTAAAAACAACCAGAGATGATAAAGTAACTTGGGCCTTATTTGTACTAAGAAATGAATCTTTTCCTTGTTAGGGCCCCAAAAGATGGAATTAAACATTATTTCTAAGTTATGGACATAAAGATTGGCATGAAGAAATTCTTAAGCCTCAGAGGATATTTACAGATATAGTTTTACCAAATGATTTTCAAAGACTTGGAACCATTTACCCTAATAATTATTCTGCTTAGGTACTTGTGAGTCATTCATGTATTTATTCATATATTAATGAGGGCCTCTTCAACCCAGCCATTATGTTTTGAAAGATTGTAGAAAAACTGATAGGGTTTTCTACATAATCTTTAAGTGGTATTTCAAAGTAATAAAATGTGCCAGCCATTAGCAGCATTTTTCCAAACCAATTTTGTTGTCATATGATCACACCTAGAATTTAGGCAGTGCTTAACTCTTAGTATGCTACCTTAGCTGTGGCATTGACTATACTGTTTTCAGATCAACTTAATGACCTATCAATTCCTGGTTGATCAGAGCACCTCTTGGTATAAATATGGCTTTAACAGAGCATTGGTCACCCATTAGGTCAGGCTTCATAAACATAGCTTGAGTTTAGTAATTACTAAATGGGACCCCCTCCCGCACCCAATCAAAATTCTTAAAAAGTCAATTTATTTTTCTCTAGGTTATGTTTCAAAGGCTATTCCCCAAAGTTATATTTTAGTTTTTTGACACTTGTCTATTTGACCTCAAGCAAGTCCCTCATTGCCCCAGTGTTCCCCACAAAGGCTGTGTTAAGAGTAAATAAGATAATGACTATGAACATTCTTTGATCTCTTTTGTCCCTGTCATTAAGTTCTTATGCTTTGAAAGCTGTAGTATGTCACTCTCCCTTTTTTCCAAAGGCTTCACGAACTTCATGCGTAGTCCTGCTTGTGACATATTTAACCCATTGCACCATGAAGTGTACCAAGACATGGATCAGCCACTCTGCAACTACTACATTGCTTCCTCCCACAACACATACCTGACTGGGGACCAGCTCCTTTCTCAGTCCAAAGTAGATATGTACGCACGAGTGCTACAAGAGGGCTGTCGCTGTGTGGAAGGTATGTGTGCTTTGTTTGAGCTCCAGAGTGTGTTGGTGAATGTGTCCTTTAATCAGTCATTCAAGTCTAATATAAATAATAGAGACCTAAAAAATGGTTTCACACTAATAAGAACTATTTCCTGCTCATCGTACATTCTTTTTTTTTTTTTTTTTTTGGAGACAGAGTCTTGCTCCGTTGTCCAGACTAGAGTGCAGTGGGATCAGCCTAGCTCACAGCAACCTCAAACTCCTGGGCTTAAGCAATCCTTCTGCCTCAGCCTCCCGAGTAGCTGGGACTACAGGCATTCGCCACCATGCCTGGCTAATTTTTTTCTATATATTTTTAGTTGTCCAGATAATTTCTTTCTATTTTTAGCAGAGACGGGGTCTCACTCTTGTTCAGGCTGGTCTTGAACTCCTGACCTCCAGCGATCCTCCCGCCTCGGTCTCCCAGAGTGCTAGGATTACAGGCGTGAGCCGCCATGCCGGGCAGTCCATTCTTAACTCACAATCCTCTCTGGCTCCTTATTTTACTGGCCAGTTGGGAGGCATAGAGATGTGTACTAGCACTTGGGAAGCATAACTTTAGTTGCTGAAAAATGTGATGAAAATTAAAGTCTTCCTAGAAAAATATTTTTAATTAAACAATGCAAAAATAGTTCAGGAGAGCTATTTGTTTTCAGGATTCTTCATGGTCTATCAATTAGTCAACATTTATTAAATTTCTAGTGGATCCTTGATGGTGAAGATACAGATGTAAGTAAGACATGGTTTCTGTATTCAAGGAGCTAACAGTCTAGTAGGAGGTATGGACATTAAAAAAAATCGTACAAGCTGGGTGTGGTGGTGTGCACCTGTAATCTCAGCTACTCGGGAGGCTGAGGTGGGAGGATCACTTGAACCCAGGAGTTTGAGGTAGCAGTGAGCTACAATTGTACCTGTGAATAGCTGTTGTGCTTTAGCCTGGGCAACATGCGAGATCCTGTCTCTAAAGTAAATAAATAGATAGTACAATGTGAGAATTCCACCAGTTGAATGATATACATGGTATGAAAGTGGTGGTATGGAGAATAAAGTGTGAGGTAAAATGTGAAGAGAAATCAGGTAGGCTGGGAAGGTAGCCTGGGGTCAGTTGTAAAGGGTCTGGAGTGCTGTGGTGAGGAATTTCAACTTCAGTTTTTGTTCATGAGGGGCCAGAGAAAGATTTTAGTATATATAGTGATATATACAGTTGTAGTATATAGATATATGTACTATATATAGCATTTAGTATATATATCTATATATAGTATATAGTATGTAGATATATATAGTTTTAGTATATATAGTGATATATACAGTTGTAGTATATAGATATATGTACTATATATAGCATTTAGTATATATATCTATATATAGTATATAGTATGTAGATATATATAGTTTTAGTATATATAGTGATATATGTAGTGATATATTTTGTATATATAGTATATATAGTGATATAATCAGACTTGCAGTTTAGAATGATCATTTAGGCAACAGTATGGGAAGATAATTTAAAAGAAAAAAATTTAGGAGTATGTGTTTGTGAAGGGAGAGGGGCGGTGAAACTGGAGCCAGGAGGATGGCGGGAATGCTATCACAGTGATTCCAAGGAAGGATTATAACAGCTTGAACTAAATGGGGAAAGAGAAATGATTATAAGAATACAGTATTAAAGAGGTAAACTTAATAAGACCTGGTAAGAGAAGTCAAGGATAAAAGGAATGACGGGAGAGCTGGAGTGGGTGAGGGTGCCACCACATGCTGTAGGGAATCTGAGAGGAAGAGCATGAATGAGTTCACTTTTCCACCTGCTAAGCTCATAGTGACTTTGTAACATTTAAGTGGGCGTCTTTATCTGTCATTTGAATAACTTAATGGAAGGGTCCAGGCAAGAGAAAGCTTCCAAAATGCTGAGCTTTGTATGTGGTACTTACAATCATGAAAGTATACAAGATCACTTACAGAGAGAAGTGAAAAAGAGGAGACCTGAGGATGTCAATGATCCAGCATTTGGGAGGCGGGAAGAGCAGGGGAAAACAGCAAGGACAACTAAGAAAAAGTGGTCACTTGGACCTAAGGGATGAAAATATCAGAAAGTAATGGCTGAAAATGTCACATGGAACAGAAAAGTAAAATGAAGACAGCTGGGAGGTGGTTGGTGACCTTTGCTGTGTAGTTTGGTGGCATGTTAGTGGGAAGGTGAGGGTAAACTGCTGTGGGTTGGTGACTGGGCATATTTCTAAATCAGAAGACTTGATGACACAGAGTCAGGGGTGGTTTTGAGACTTGGAAGAGGGGGAAATCATGCAGGTTTGTTTTTAGATGCAATGAAGGGGACAGGAGAATTTGAAAGTGCTTATGCCTGATAACCCCTTTTTTCTCAGGAAAGCAGGAGAGAGCATCATCCACTAAGTGTAGAGTGAGTGGAGGTTGGCTAGGGGGCTTAAGATAGCAAACTTTTGAAGAAGTCATCAGAGAATGGGAAAGGAGTTGACAAAATGAGGAAGACCCAGCTAATTTCAAAAAACATTCTTTAGTGATACAAAATCTGGATACTTAGACTCCCCCTAATCCCATCCCCAGTAGTACACATGTGCTTAGATATAAGAGTAGTGAAGGCATATTATGGAATTGATCTAAGGCTCTGGATTCCTAGGTCATATAAAGTATCTTCAGGGTGCTGGTGAGAGCTCTTGTAAGTAACTGTCACGGGGGCCATGGGTCTAAGAAAGGAAGTGAAGTGAATAAGGGTCTACAAAGGAGATTAAGAGACTAGAAGGCTTAAAGAAATAGAAAAATGCACATGCCAATGTCATCGCACTTACAAAAAATAAGAACAGAGAATTGTCATTGCAATGAGAGGTAGTTACAGGTGATGACAATATCCGGAGTATGTCATGGGTGAGCATGTTTGAAATAGAGTGGTGTAGGGATTATTGGCATTGAGGGGGTCAATGCCAAGGGTTTCAGTAGATTGCCACATGGACTTTTAACTCACAAAGGATGCAGACAGGGATAGATTGGAGATTAAAACTATAAACCAGATACTTAAGTACAAAAAGAATGCTACAGAAAAGGTACTTGGAAGATACCAGAAAGGTATAGCTGGATAGAGTGAGCTTCAAAAGAGGAGGCACTTTTTTTATGAGTGTAGAAGAATGATTCTTCAAAAGTAGCAATGAAGGCCTAGAGAATGCCTTCTGGTTCTGTGATGTACACAAAAGAACCTCTGTGGAGAAAAGAAGTAGCATCCTCCAAGGTAAGCTGGTGGTTAACCAAGATAAGGAGGTTGAGGGAGAATTCCGAAAAGAGTCCGAAGAGGAAATGGAATTTATAATGGAGTGGAGATGCCATGGAGCACAGGGGAATTGCTTTTTGGTGGGGGTGTGCCGTGAGTCAGCAGTGAGATAACTGGTTGTCCCAGGGGTGGTGGAGAGTATAGGCAAATGAATAAAACAGCAGGATTATGAGATAAGACTGGTTAACCGAAAGGACCTTTCTTTGTCTGATAGTTTATTGCTTAGTAATAAGCAATAAACTGATAGTTTATAGTTTAGTAATTTTCTGCTCCAAAAGTGACAATGACGTTATTAAGGCAAATCAACACATTTAAAAAATGGACAGGCATTAAACACTATCTACATGCAGAAACATTAGGACCACTACAAAATGGGTGCTCTGGAAATTTATGTTTTAAGGCAGTGTTTCTGCAGTAGTTGCAAAGAATATATACCAACAATAGTGACTAACAATTGAGTGGCTTAAGCAACTGAATAATGAAGATGGTCATAAAATATTAACATGAAGAAAAACCTTTCAAGGAATAAAAGGTCTTAACGTGACGTTCTGCTCTCAGCCATTATTCAGCCCTTTGTTGACTCAGTACTTAATAAGTTTTGCATGTCTGACTTGCAGAGAGTCCCTGGGCACACAGCCTCGTTGGATTCACACTGATGGCTGCTTATCATTTTAAAGGGTGACATTTCTGTGGAGGTCAAGTTTGAAAAATGACCTTTAGTAACCTAATGAAGTCATAGTCAACTCTATACAATGTTGCAATTTTGTTATTTCTGTCTTTTCTCTTCTATTTCTTTTGCTGTTCAGGTCCTTCAGATACCTAGGCATCTCTTTTTCCGTTTATCTGTCCAAAATCCAAGCCTAACCATGTTCCTATGATCAACTCCTTATACTGAATCAAAACTTGTAATCCTCTAGCTTTGTTCAGTGTATTAAGAAGGACAGTTACCTGATTAAGACAATTTATGATAAGGCACAAATGATTTTTAGTTGTAACTTTTTCAGTAGTCTTTTAATTCCAAAATAGGAGCTTTTAGAAATTATGTACAGAAGATGATATTGAATATGGGCCTTCTCTTATATCTTTTTCCTTCCTGTTTGCCAATGACCAATGTAATGGAAAGAAACTACTTGGTCCTCCATGTCTAAAAGATTGCTCGCTCTAGATACACCCACAAACTGAGACTATGCACAGCTATGATATAATTTTAAAGAACATGCAATCTGCTATGTGCTCCCAAATATCTCCCTGATTAGCTTGTATCAGTAAATTCCTCCCTAGTATTTGGCTTAAAGTTCTTACTATTAGAATAATCTGTAACTGAACAGCGAAAGTCAAATTGCTACTTCTAGAAAGTTCTTTTTGAGGGGAAGAATTGTATTTATCTTGAAGACTTGGTTGTCTTTGTATTTGACCTATTTCCTATTGGAAATTGTGGTTGTCACTTTGGATTTGAATGTGCTATAGGAAGGAAAAGAGGAACTACTATAATTTCAGCCCCTTTTGTGGGCCAAGTACCGGCTAAATATTTTCCATACATTCTCATTTAATTCTTACACCACCACCAAGGGAGATGGAATAATCTCTTAAGAGAAAACTTCAACTCAAGTGGGTAAATGGCTTAAGTTCCCTTGGCTAAGAAACTTAGAAGTTTGGATTCGAACCCAACTTGGTCTGACTCCCCAGCTCCACTGTTCTCCAGGAAACCTGTGTCCTTTTAGAGGAGCAAGCACTGAATGACATGACAGCCCTAAGAGTGATTGAATGGGGGCTATCAGATCATATAAGGATGGCTGGAGGAAGTAAAGAGCACAGCAGAGAGGGGAGGTTGGCTTTAAAAGGAAGAATATGCTTCATTCATGATTAAGCTTACCACCTAAATTTGGTGACATGATCTTTTGTGGTCTCCTAACAATTTCTGTTAGCCCTATGGTTTGAAGCTCTTAGTTTGCATTTACATCTTGAGCATGGAGACACCAATGCATGTACAGTAATCCCCTTTTATCCACAGTTTTGCTTTCCATGGTTTCCGTTACTCATGGTCGGCCATAGTCTGAAAATATTTAATGGAAAATTTCAGAAATAAATAACTCATAAGTTTAAAATTGTGCACCATTCTGAGTAGTGTGATAAAATCTTGTGCTATCCTGCTCTGTCTCTTCTTCATCATGAGAAGGGAGAGTACAGTACAATAAGATATTTAAAGAAAGAAAAAGAGACCATATTTATATAACATATTATAGTATATTATATAAATGTTCTATTTTACTATTGGTAATCTCTTACTGTGCCTAATTTATAAACTAAACTTTATTGTAGGTATGTATACATAGAGAAAAACATGGTATATATAAGGTTTGGTAGTCTCTGAAATTCCAGGCATCCACTAGGGGTCCCAAAACGTTTCCCCTGTGTATAAAGGGGGGAATACTGTATGCACAGTGGCATTTTATCTACCTTGGGTCCAGATGAAGTTGTTTTTATTCTTAAACAGTGGCAGTTAGAATTTAAAGAACCTTATTTATAGAATATAGCAGGTCATGGATTGAAAATTTCAGGACCCACAGCTGTCTGAGGCAGCTTTTGCTGAGTATACCACTTACGAGATGGAGACTAATGATTCTGGACAGTTTCTTCCTGCTGTTGTGACCTGAAGAATCTCTCCACTTTCAAGCTTGTACTTTAGTAATGTGATGTTTTCCATCTCCATTAGTTTAGCTGCAGTAATGTCCTCAGTCAGGATATATATAATGTCTTGGGGAAGACTAATAGGTCTTTTTCGGTGAGGTGGGCTTGTCAGCAAATCAAATTGGTAACATTTTTTACATGTCCTCTCATTCACTTTATTTTCATCCTGAGTTGCTTAATAAATATGGATGTTCTATCCAGTGGATTTTCATTCTCATAATGGAACCGATGTTGCATTGCTGTTGTAATCGGTTTACGACTTTTCCCGTTATCTCTGGGAGTGCCATCAGGGTGGAACGTCTTTAAGTTCCATTATGAAAAGCTGTCATGTTAGCTGCTTGGCCTTCAGAATGACCAACTCTTTGTTGGAGTTGCTTTGCTTTCTGGGGTCTCTAATGTATGACCTGATTGAAAAATGAGCCCTGGCTATTTTGTGCACAGGGGAGTTGGATAGAGGATTTCTACCTTGCCAACATTCCTATTATGACACTAGCCTTTACAGGAAACTTCACTGCCATTCGAACCTGGCCACGAATGCTACATATTAAGATGCCACCATCTGGGAATGTCATTATCTTCACTTCACAGACAAGTGATGAAATCAGAAATAAAAAGTCAACATTAGGAGAACATACCATCCTCAACTATGGATCTTCTGCTTGTGTTGTAAATATTAGCAAAAGAGTGCCTTCTTTCATGACTTATGTAGGTTGAAGAGGATTTTTATATGAGCATGCTAAACAAGTCAAGCATGGTATTGTCTTGTCTACTTTGCATTCTTTTGGAAAAGATAGTTCATTTATGAGGAACGCTGTTATGCCCTTTTTCCTCCAAGATGAGATTGTAAATCAGGGTAAAAAGTGTTGAAATTTTATATTATTTAAAGCATCTGTTCATTTTTTCCATTCTTATATACAGAGACAAATTAAAGAACGTTAAGTACATGGAAAAATATAGATGAAGCTTCTCTTCTGAGAAGATGTTGTAGATACATTTGGCATCATTGACAGACCAAAGGGATAGTATGACACTGTAGGATAGTATGACACTGTAGGATAGTATCCCCACTTTGGTTTACTCAATAGTGTCTTTTTCTTAAATGTCATTTCCAGTATTCCTGTGGTATTAACCTTAAGTGTTTTTTCTCCTTTTATTTTTTTCAATTCCTTCCCCCTAGGGATATTTGAACAGCCAATGTTTAATGGGTTAATACAGATAACTGTGTTAGGGTTCTCCAGAGAAACAGACCAAGAAGATATATGGAGAAAGTTTGAGATTGGTTGATTTTTTTTTTTTTTTTTTAAGAAATCGGCTCCCATGATTGTGGGTGTTGGCAAGTCTGAAATTTGTAGAGCAGGCCGGCAGGCTGGAGACTCAGGTTAGACTTGATGCTACAGTCTGGAGTACAAATTTCAAAGGGGCAACAGGCTGGAACTCAATCAAGCAGGGTTTCTATGTTGCAGTATTGAGAATTTCTCCTTCTATAGGAAATCTCAATCTTTTCAGGCCCTCAATGGATTGGTTGAGGTCTGCCCACATTATGGAGAGTAATCTGCTTTACTCAAAGTCTACTGATTTAAATATTAATCATACGTTAAAAAATATCTTGACAGCAACATATAGACTGGCATTTGACCAAACAACTGAGTATCAGCCTAGCCAGGCTGACATGAAAAATTAACCATCATAATCACATTATGATTATGGTGAACATTTTGAAAGTTTCAGAAGAATATGGTACTATATCACCTCTTGGGGTAATACACAAAGCACATATATAGAGAAAGTGCTACTAAAATAGAGAACAGCTGTGGTCCTGAACTATGTGGTCCTAGTTAAAGGCAGAGTTTCAACTGGCATCCCATTAGCCAAATTCAGCCTGCAGAATTGTTTATATTTGGCCCATATTGTATTTTAAAAAATGAATTAGTTGCCAATATTTAAAAATAGGGAAAATTCACAGCAATAAAATCTAGACTTTTTACTTTTCTCAGAAGATCTGGCAACCAGGGTTCTTATACCTTCTTAGCAATGATTAACACTGAGAAGTAGTTATCTCATTTAGACACACATTTCCTGTTGGGTTGCTGCATTGATTTATGTTAACTGCTGGGATCTTGTTGGTATTTGAGATTATGACCCCCTGCCATAAAGGAAAAAGAGATCCTGTGGGCTGACAAGGTTCTATGGAAGATTCTAGCTTAGCCTTGATTGGGACTTAGACAAGCAAAGTGAAAAGGGAATATTTCAGTTGACCTTCAAAGAAAGAAGCAAAGAGGCATGGAGGTGGGATTGTATGTGAGGACACTTGCCTAACTGCAAGAAGTCTGTGAGTTTGCGTAGAAGAGAAAATAAGGTTGACTTGTCAGACAGAAGCTAGGATATTAATTAAGGCAACAGTGTATTTTTAACAATTAAACCTCAAATTCTCTGTGCCCTAAAATAATGGACATTTATATCTTGTTTATGTGAAGTCCAAAGTGTTCCTAATGAGTGACTCTTTTAAGCAGTGATTCAAGGGTCCAGACTCTTTCCATCTTGTGGCTGTGCCATGACTTCTAAAGTCACAGCAGAAGAGGAAAGAGGATGAATGACTATGTAAGGCAGATTTCCACTGAGTAGAACTGGAAGTGGTGCATGTCCTTTCTGTCCACATTTCATTGGCAGCACCCTACCACAAGGGAAGGCGGGGCAGTGGGGTCTAGCTGTATTCCTGGGTGAAAGAAGAAACAGTCCCTAGCACAAGGGATAGGGGCATTGAGGTTAAGCAGGCAGGAGCTGCTGTATGTTGTAGGATATTTATTAATAACTATATAGCATATATTTACAGACTCCTTACTTCTACATGTTGGATGCTATGCTATGCACTGAGTAGCCTTTTGAGCAAAGGAGCAACATGGTAAAACCAGCGTTTTGAAAAATTAGCCCAGTGGAAGAGTATAAAAACAAGACAGGGCAAACTCTAAGTCAGGGAGGATGAGGAGGAGGCTGTTGTTTTTCTCCAGCTGAGAGCCAATGAGATTGGGTATATAGCAAAATTAATAGCATCTGTAACAATAACAGTATGTGCCATGCAGTGTTTGTTATAAGCCACTTTACATGTATTTAATCATCACTCAAATTTATGATATAAGTGCTATTACTCTTAATATTTTCCTTTTCTAGATGGGGAAAGCAAGGCTTCAAATGATTAAATCATTTGCCCATATTCATGTAAATCTTGGCAGGACCTGAGGATTTGAACTTAGGAAGTCAATGTTATTTTGTAACTACTGTAGAATTAATGAAATGAAAATACATCTAATGGAAACATGAGTTTAAGTGAACAATAATGAGAACTCTGTTATTGATTTGAGAAAAACACTATGCTTACTAAAAGACCTTGGTAACCTGAAGAAGAAGAAGGAGTGAAATCAGAGAAACAACCTGTTAAGAAATATCACTATACTTGGGCACACTTGATTAGATTTAGATAACTTCTAATGACAGTTTTTGGTAAATTCTAGGCTGCTTATGAATATGACATCTTTGTTAACCACACTCAAAAACAAATCATTTATTATCTTTAATTCTTTATTGTGATAAATATGCCAGAACACCCATTTCTCTGTCTCATGTTCTTATCATGATTGTAATAGGTATAATTTCAAATAATAAACTTAAAATAATATGTGCCTCATATTTCCAGAAATATTAATCAATACCAGAAACTTTGGGTTGTTGACATGAAGTTCTATTTTTGGCAGTTGACTGTTGGGATGGCCCAGATGGAGAGCCAGTAGTACACCATGGTTATACGCTCACTTCAAAAATTCTCTTCAGAGATGTTGTGGAAACCATCAACAAGCATGCCTTCGTGAAGAATGAGTGAGTATAGCAACACCTGGGAGCTCAGCTATATGTCTCCCACGTGGAGCACTGCCTGATAGAACGCGGCGACAGAACCACACACTCTTCCTGGGACTCCACATCTCCCTTTCTACCGCCCTAGTTCTCTCCTTTCTTCTCAGCAAAACATTGTGAACCAATAATATGGGCTCCATGTTAGCACTTTCCCATGCTCCATTGATTCCTAATCCCATTCTCTCTCAACTTACTGCCTTAAAGACATTCTTGCAAAGAGTGACTTCTAAATTTCTAAACCCAGGGTATAGAGTGTCCATGAAGTCTGGAAACACAGGTTACTACATATATAATTAATAGTTTTTCGATATTACATTACAATATAGTAAAGTGCTAATATCTTGCTGGATGTCCTATATATGCACAGAAGTGTGTGGTGTCCATGTTATTTAACCGCTCCTTGGCATTTGATAACGTTGAGTATTTCTGCCCCAGCACTTGCCTTTTTTGGCTTCCGTTATATCATTCTCTCCTCCATTGCTATCATTGCTTCTCAGTCTCCTTTTTTGGCCTGTGATCTTTTACTTCATTTCCTCACTCATTTAATGGTTACTATTTCCTAAAGTGTTACCCTTTGTCTACTTTTTGGATATTTATCGAATTATATGTCTAGCACTTTTTTCCTGAGTTCCAGACCTTTATAGGAAAATCCTCAGTAAGTAATCATCTGATGTCCCATAGGTGGAGGGAGCCACAACACTGAACAAAGAGGAGATTCCTGCCACCATAGGGCTCACACCCCAAATGCAGCGCCTCATTCTGCCAAGCTTCGTCTTGTCGCTCGCTCTGTTTCCTTTTATTTAGGAGCAACACTGTCTACCAGTGGCTTCAGCCAGAGTCATTCTAGAGTCAGGCAATGCTTGTCAGTTCTGCTTCCTGGATTATCCTTTGACTTCATTACCTTCTCTTTGTTTTCATTTCCCCTTTGGTTCATCCTTCACACTGGTGCTATGGTTTTCCTTCTGAACTATGAGCATAATGTTATAATTCTTGTCTTAAAGTCCGTCAAAAGCTCCCTGTAGCACACAGGCATATCACGCCTTTTGACGGCTGACCTCTCCCTTCCCTTCCAGTGCCTTCTCCCACCGTTGCTCCACAGAGACTTAGGATTCTGCCTTTCATGACTGTCCCTCAGCTTCCTCATTGAGCTCAGCTCCTTACCAATGCTCCACGCTCGTGTATGCTGTTCTCTCTGCCTGGGACACCCTTCCCCATTATTCCACCTGCCTGATTCTTGCTTATCCTACAAGACTGTTGAAGTATTGTCCCTCTGGCAACTGACTGATACCACCAGCTGATTTAAATCTTCTTTTTCTCTGTATTTAGCACCCTCAGCATAATTCCGTCATATCAGATAGCACCATCTTGCAATTGTTGATTTTTTGCCTTCTTTTAAATCTGTAAGATTTAGACTCATTGAAAATATGGAGCTACATCTTATTTATTTCTTATTTATTCTTTGTTGCCTAGAAGGTATTATACCTTCAATGTACCAGATATTCAAGAAAGGATTTTTGAATTAAAAGAAGCAAATTAAAATTATAATTATGTAAAATTAATTTTTTACAAGTTACTAGTAGCCTTTAAAATTTTTAATATTTGGTCTTCTTATTAATTAACCATGAGGTTAAAATGCTGTTCTAATAAAACACACTTGCTGCAAAGCAGGGTTAGTTTATGGTGTCTTCCATGTGAAGAATCTTGAGTACTGAATTCTGATGGGTCTTCACAACCCTAATTTCTACCCGTCTTCATCAAACTGTTGAAGTAAGTTTGCCTTTGTTTCCCAATATACGAAGTAGGATGTGGAGAAGACGTGCTGCCTTTGTGCCTTGGAGGATCCTCTAGTGACTTGACAGTTTGCTTCAAGTTTAGAAACATTTAGAAGAAAAGCACTTCAAGTTAAAACAGTCATTAAGCTTGTTTAGTACATTTTTAAAGTTTGGTTTTTTTCTTTCTTACATTTTAGTTGCATCTTTATATCAGGGTTTTTCAACCTTGACAATATTGATATTTTGGGCCAGATAATTTTTTGTATTAGAGAATGGTCTTGGATTTATAGGCTGGTCAGCAGCATCCTTAGCTTCTACTCACTAACTGGCGGTAGTACCCCCTGAATTATGACCATGAAAAATGTCTTCAGACGTTGACAAATGTCCCTTGTTGGGGGTGGAGGGGAATTGCCCCCTCTCCGGTCGAGAAACATAGCTTTACACTAAGCATCATTAGACACTGAGAGGCTTTATTTTTTTTTTTTATTTCAGGGTATTGTGAGGGTACAAACATTATAAATGGTTACAATTTATATCTTTGCCTCACCCAAGCGAGGGTTAGAGGCATGCCCTTCCCCCCTACAAGCTCCCCGTGTCCTTTAGTTGCAGGTTTACCCTCCCATCCTCCTAATCCCTGGAGGGTATTACTGCCATGTGAGCACCCTAGTGTTCATCAGTTA